CCTACTAAGCACCAGACAGATAAGTTCAGCTGAAGGGCAGAAGCTCCGGTGAGCGGCGGAGACATCAGCGTGAATCTATACTCTGTACACACTGAAAGCGTCTGACCTGGCAACCGCCACACGGACCTCGTGGCTTTGATGATTTCGCCTACGTCTAAGTCTAGAAAGCTATGCTGGACTCCCAAACCCATAGTACAGAATGTTATAGTATATTATAGTATATTATCGTATATTGTAGTATACCGTAGTATAGCATCGTATATTACAGTACATTATAGCATCTTCGACTGTTCTCCCATGGTCCTCCGCCATTCTCCAAGGCGAACTGCGAGCAGAAAGCTGAGGTTTGGAACATGGCTTCTGTGGCAGTGGCAGAGGCGACTCCAAGCAACCAAAGAAGGTGATCAAAGGTTCCTTATTACTCATATACTATAAAGGCGCCCAAAACCCTGATTCGAATTATTTAGTGTTTAGGCTTTACGGTCTCTACAAGCGCCCTTTGAACAGAGGCGCATCGGCTGAAAGGCCAAAAGCGCCAACCCCTGGGACCCGGGCCATGGTTCCGGGAAGACACAGGGTAAGCATGGTTACGAAAGCAAAGATGAAGGACACCTCGGGAGCGCGAAAGAGCCTTCGGGGTCCGAGGTTCAGGCAAATGCCGGATGCTTCTAGTATAGTATAGTATAGTATAGTATAGTATAGTATAGTGTAGTGTAGTGTAGTGTAGTCTAGTGTAGTATAGTATGGTATAATATAGTATGGTATAGTAGAGTAAGTATGGTATAATATCTGTTCATGGAGGCTTGAGAGCCCCACATAACCAAGTGCCCCATAGTCCCGCAACGATTGCAAAGACAGCAGCGTCTCGCGGGTGATGTTCATCAACTCCTTTCACGAACACAAGCAAATTGTACATGTTTTCCGGCAGGCATCAGTGAGGGTTTAACGATCAAGTAGGCTCATGCTCCGGCAAGAAGGCTGTGGCACCAGGGTTTCTCATCTTGCCCTGCCCACACGTCTGGAACCGAGGGTGGCAATTCAGCGACCAGCCTCTTTGCCGCCCTTCTTGTAAATGTATGCCTTGTCTCACACACACACACACACACAATAACGGCACAGAAGCAACGAAAGGAACGGACAAGCAGTGACATAGCGCCCTGGCCACCCTCAACCTGCGACACACAGCTCAGGCCGCCCCATCAATGCGCTTGTTCCCTGCAACAGTGCTCCCGCATCTTCGTCTGACACGATGCCGCAGCCAGTGCCAGCACACCGCCCAGGGCGAGGATGACGTAGCGCTTGGAAGACTGGGAACGCTACATCAGGGATCGGAGCCTACGCGAATAGAGAATCCCAGGTTGCTCTAGCAACAGAATTTACACAGACGAGTCTCCCGACAGAGCAACAGAGCAATCCCAAAAAGTGGCGGTGTCCCAACGTAGAATCACCATCCTTTTGCTTATCATTGATATGGGAGTTTCCGAAAATTAGGGGAACCTTATTTTGGGGTCCTTATAACAAGGATCCTACTATCTAGGGTACTATATTAGGGTCCCTCTATTTTCGGAAACCCTAAACCCTAAACCCTAAACCCATATAACTATACAACATTCCGCGAAAAAAAATGGGCGCCTTCTTGCCATCCTTCTGGTTCGAACTCGGCGAGGTCTTCGGATCCTGGGGAGGGCGAAGATAGGGTTTAGGGTTTAGGGTTTAGGGTTTAGGGAAGATACTTAACGGAAAGAACGGGAGTCGTGACCGAAAACGTGTAGCCAGATATGCAAATATACCTGCAAAGTATGCTTGTCCGTGTTATTTTTGTTTCTATTCGGTCAAAGCGCTCGTCTATCATTCTGTATGTGGGTGGGTATGTACGTACGTATGTATGTATATATGTATTCAGTTATGTACGTAAATGTGTACGTATGACGTACATATGTATACGTATAGGTCTAGGCCTAGGTTTAGGTAGAGGTATAGGTATAGGTGTGGGTGTAGGTATAGGTATAATGCGGTCTAGGTATAGGCATAGGAGAAGGTATAGGTCTAGGCTTGGGTATAGGTACGGGTATAGGCTTCAGTATAGGTCTAGGTATAGGCTTAGGTATAGGTCGAGGTATAGGTATAGGTTGATAGATGGATGGACAGAGTGACAGAGATAGATGGATAGACAGGGAGATAGGTCGAGAGGTACATAGGTAGATAGATAGACAGATAGATAGATAGATAGATAGATAGATACCCAGATAGACGGGTAGACAGAGAGACAGAGACAGATAGGCAGGTAGATAGCTAGGTCGTTTGGTAGGCAAACACCTGGGTAGACAGATACTTGTAGCAGAAAGACAGACCAACATATGGGTGGTTGTCAAAGTTATGGTCCCTTTTGGGGTCCTGATTATAATGCGGCACCTAATATTTAGGGTACCCAAAAGGGACCCTAATTTTGACAACTACCCATATAGACAAGTAGACAAGTAGATAATTACATTGAAGCCATCACAGAACCTTACACCTTGAGCCTGTTGATTTGTTCTCCCAGAGCCTGGCCTTCTCCTTCATCTCGTGCGGTGCCGTGCCCGTCATTATGGCCGAGTCGCGCAGAAGGGCGTCAGAAGAAGAGGAGTAAAGAAGAGAAGCTGGAATGACAAACAGGGGTGCTTGCTGCTTGGCTCGTGTTTGGTGGGCACTGTACCTGGAATATTGGGAATCGTGCTGCATCGAGCTGCGGCATGCACGCTATCAGCTTGTGATAACGACTAGCCATGGCCTATACCACCACTTCTCAGAAACTCCTATACAACGAAACGTTCAAGCATTGTCAAAGCCACTGCAAGCCTGCTGCGTGCCAGTTCCTAAACTTCCTACAAGCGGTGCACCTACACCCCGACATCGATCGATCTCAAGCTTCTCCTGCTTGACCGTCGGGACCTCTTGGCTGGAGTCGCGTAGGGCTGCTGTGTCCAGTAAAATTCTGTCCGGAGACGAACGCACGCGGGCTAGACATGTTCGACGGAGCACTACTGAACAGCACTGCGCAGACAGCGCCTCGTCCGCAACAACCGCGGAGGCCATCATGGCAGCGAGGCAAGAAAAGCAACCGTAAACATCGTAAATGCAGCGAGATCAGCGGTGACCTAGTCAAGGTAGTCTTATCCTGGCATATTCAACAGATCCTTGACACTTCATCCTATAACCCAGCATGGGCCCAAAGTGAATGGAGCTGCAGAATGCCGATCACCACTCGCGGCTTCACATAACACTGTGGCATTGATGCAGGACCCGGACCCCTCTTCGTTTTTGGAGCCGCTAGGTTTCGTACAGGTAGGCCATGGTGCCCAAACCTGCCGTCTTGCTGCATCATAAACCCGAACTCTGACCCGCATGTCCGCATGTCCTCGCCTCCTCGAGATGTCCAGGACATGGGTAGCAGCAACCTGTTCACAGAAGGGTAAACTGCCACAAGTGCACTGCACCGAAGCAGCAAGGCGTGCCAATGCTGCAAAGTGGCTCCCCCACTTTTCTCAGCAAAGGCAAGGGCTGCAACGAGGCCTTAGATGAGCTGGCCATCATGAAGCCCATGACAAGCTCGAAAGCCAACCATGCACATGAGCAGAAGGCACCAAAGCAAATCTGGCCCCTGTGCATGGAGCATTGACGTTGTGTTCTGTTGCAAATGGTCTGACCATTCCCCCGACTCGGCATGGACGCTTCTGTTTTGCATTTCAGCTGCCGGCTTCAAGTTGTAGACTGTGCATCAGCGTGGGCTCATTTGGACGAGTCAACAACTGCGAACTCTGCATAAAGCTTGAAATGTTCGATCTCCGAAATCTTCCACGAAACCGGCTCTCGCCGAGGCACGACGCCTCGGAGCTGGCGCGCCTCCTGAAAACGAAGTGCCCTAGGCGTTCTTAAAGCTTTGATAACGCCACAAAAGCCCGTTGCCTGCTGTACCTTCTGGGCAGACGCGAAAAGAGTGGCTTCGTCGAAGCACAGCGAAGAGAGGTAGACGTGCGTGACATCGCTGATGTCTGCCTCCAACCTCGACTGGTACACAGCTCCCGTGCAGTACAACAGCGTAATCGATGCTGTCGACCGAGGGGCAGATCGCCTTGAATGAACTCCACCTGCCGCAGGTCAAGGACACAAGGGGTTGAAAAAGAACGCCTCTGGGCAAGGACACATTTGTTTGCTGCTTGTAAAATCAGCCCCTCGGCATCCGGAGTCCAGAATGCGACTCTTACAGGCTTCGGAGACTTAAGGTGTCTAGACGACGCAGGGAGCGCTGGTGGGCTTGCAGTGACACGCAGTTCGGCTGCATCCTTCGTCCAAGCTTCGCACCAACCCCAAAAAACACCGAAGCAGCTCGAAACCCAAAAGACATTAAGAAGCCCGGCCCCCTGTGCCTCGTCCTCAGGGCTGGCCTCCTCCTGATACAGGCTTCTTATTGAAGCACAACTGTCACAGAACCAGCATGCCAAAACAAAGGCAGTGACTACAACGGCGTTTCTGTTGGCTTGGTGGGGAAGTGCATATGTGCTAAGAGAATGCTTCTCGGCGGCTTTGGCCTTGGGCAATTGGCAAAGGGGTGAGGCACAATTGCCTTGGCTCTGTGCAATTTTGGATGTCGCTTGGCGACGGACTGGCGGAAATTGCCCTAAGTCGTTCTTTTCCGAGCCTAGCTTGTTTCCGGGCATGACCCTAGGCCACAGGCAAAAGTACGTGTTGACATATGGGTGGTCGTCAAAATTATGGTCCCTTTTTGGGTCCTTATTATAATACGGCACCTATTATTTAGGGTACCCAAAAAGGGACCCTAATTTTGACAACCACCCATATCCACAAGCGGAGAGCCTCGCACCCCGATGCTTTCAGCAGCCGCTGGCGGAGCTCGAAGGCCTATGTTCAGACAGGAAGGGCCAGAGGCTGAAGCTGAAGGCTTAGGGTTTAGGGTTTAGGGTTTAGGGTTTAGGGTTTAGGGTTTAGGGTTTAGGGAAGGCATCGAACTTTGAACTATGATCTGCAAGCCTTGGCCCAGGGATTGAAAGAGGTTCGGGGGCTGAGGGATGCTTTCTATCCAATTCGAGTGATACTCATACCTAACGAAAAGCTTCGTAGTAGAGCCCCTGTACTTCCCTCGACTGGAAAAGAATGGAAAAGATCTCCCGCATTTCCCAGAGCCCCCGAGTTGTGTGAAGTAGCAGGATGTATGAGGGCATGCGTGTCTTATGCATTGGACGTCATGCCCCGACAGCCAGTTGACACTCGTGCATGCTCTCTCTCTCTGATCTGTCTGTATGGTCTCATGTCGGGCCCAGAATACCGGCTGCCCCTGGACACGGAAAAGCTTGGACCCGCAGGTCAGCAGTCGCATCAACCATCAGAACCTCTGAAGTGCTGCCTCCTGCCTCGTCACTGAGGAGCAGCGCCTGGCAAACTATTTCGATGAGGGGTTTTTTGGCACCGGCTGATCTCTCTCAAGCTCTGCTCGGCTCCCCACTCCCTGTCTCCGCACCTCCCAGGCCTGCCGCGCTCTCCGGCAGCGCGTGGCCGACAGCTCCACGCCCAGTGCTCGGCCCACTCCGGGGCACTCCAGGTAGACCTGCACCTGAACCGTGAGAGCATGTAAGCCTCCACACATCCCTGCCTCCGTACATGAAAGGGCTTCTTGAAGCTCGAGGGTTTCTTGATGGGTGCAGGATGCGGTGCTCGAGGCCCCTAGCTTAGAAGGGATGCTTCGCCTGAATGCTTTCTTCCTGAGAAGTCCGGGGAGCCACCATCTTCCCAACCCCGCAGCCAAGGTCTGCAAAGATGCCAGGCGCCCCTGCGCTGATGTCTCTCAAGGAAACCCTTCGGGCTCAGGTAGGTACAGCCGTACAGCCCCCTCCTGGGATTTTCAAGTCGCTCGAGGGTTCCATTCCCTGCTTGATGAGACGAGGAGCCGGCGAGACGGTAAGATGCTCCAGTGGTCAGGCAACCATCTTGGTGATTTCTGCTTGCCCTCATGGTCTTAATGCTTAGCGCCTAGGGCGTTTTTACGTGCTGCACCCCGAAATATGTTTAGCAGAGCTCTCCTAGCCCAGACTGGACCTTCCGTGTCGTCCAGCCCCCAATGCTCGGCCAGAAGCCTCACCTAAGCCGTGCATAGCCGTGCATAGCCGTGCCAGTCGCAGACATGGCCACACGATTCAGCGAAGGAGCTTGGAAACTATGCTATTGCACAAAGATCACGCAGCAGTCGCATGAATCCCGAACTGCAGCCAAACCACCTCAAGCCCGAACCCCCGTGCTCTTCATCTCAGCCAAGACCAGGGACACCCGCTGCAGTAAGCTCGCCATACCTGGGATCACTACGGTTTTGGGTTTGGAGCAGATCTTCCGCACCGCAGTGTCTGCGAAGGTTTCGGGGTGCTAGATGTTGGACATGACAGGTAGCAGAACTTCCGAAGCCCACTCTTGCTCGGTTACGTGGAGGGTTTCGTGCCCCTGGCGCCGCGATCCAGCCGCCGCTGCTCCTTGGCCTGGCGAAGGGGCTCAAGGCTGAAAGCCGGATCGCCGAATCTTTGTCGTCCAAGGCTCGGAGATGCTGTAACCTTCGCGGCCGCGCCAGTAAGTGGCCAGCACCCGGTCAACATCGACGCGGAGTGACTGGCACAGGGCAAAGCTGGACTTATCTTGCAGGACTGTGGAGTGCAGAACGCATTGCAAGAGCATGGAGTGTCTTACTTTGCTTGGCGCTTAGACATGTCCAAAAGCATGCTACCACCTATCGCATGTGCTCGCTCATGAAGGCTCGGCATGACTGCGGCAGCAGCGTGGAGCTGTGCTAGCATCCCGTCACTAAAAGTCAACTACACATGCCGTTCTCACTTGGAGTCTCAAGCTCCTCTTTCTCCACAAATGCCCCCTCACCGACGTCACCCCCGGCCCATCAACATCAGAATCATTGAGAAGGAGAAAGTAGCAGGTTAGCAGAGAGGCTGGTGATGATATTGGTGGTGGTCCGCATAGTAGTAGTAGTAGTCGTCGTC